CCCCCGCCGCGGCTTTTTAGTTTATTTATCGATTTATGCGTTTTGCCGGACGAGGAGGAGGAGGAGGAGACGTTTCCCGCCCCGGCCCCAGCCCAGACTCCCCCCTAAAAATCGCTTCCCGGCCGTTTCGGGGAGGGCGAAGGAAACGTTGCTTTTTCGGCTACGTGTCGGCTGGGTTTTACAGAGCAAAGCGGGGCTTTTGCCCGCCTGACGCACGGGCCGTGATTAACTGCTGAAGCAGCTGAAAAACGTGGTTGTGTTTTGCTTCAGAGGAAAGGCTGGAAGAAAAGCCCAACCCGGGACAAATGAGCCGGCCGAAAAAGGAAAAACCCGTCGAGCCAATTCTTGATTTTTCTGAACTTCAAATATGCAAACACCTCCTCTGTCCCACCAGCCCCTTCCAGCTTTGCCTGGCGGGGAAGGTCTGGCGGGGAAGCGGGAGGAGCGAGTCGCCGAGGGTTATTAATAGCTCGAGGGGCAAAAGTGGCAGGTGAACACTGTCAAATAAGAGCGTTATTAAAAATAACAACAGGCAACAGCAGGCGACTCCTCGGGGCAGCAGTCTACACCTTCCACCCCGCTGGAGCGGCTCCGAAAAATAAACAGGAAAATAAATGCACAAAACATTTCAGCGCTGTCGAGTGAGTAATGTTTCCTGACCCTGCCTCTCGCTCTCGCGGCGATTTTCAAGTATCGCTTTATCTCACCCGTCTTACAGGCATCCGACTTAACGGCGTGTCATTTTGTTTCCGCCCCCCCCTAAAACTGTGCTTTCCTATCGAAACCTTCATTCTCCCGTAAACAGGAACTCAAGAGGTGTTTTGTTTTTTTTTTTTTAATTAAGTAATTGCGAGAAAAATGGTGCCCCCCCGCCCCCGGGATCAAGCCCGGTCCCCTCCAGGGCAGGCGGGTGGCAGCCGAGCAAACCGAGGCGCCCAGCCTCTCCTCCCCTATCTGTCCTGGGCGAGAAACAATTACCGAAAAAGACAGTCTGTGCGCCTGGACCAATTCTTGGCGTGTGCGTCAGCCAGGGTCAGTGCTGCTCCGCTCGGCCACAAACTGCTTGGAGGAACCTCGTGGAGGTCATGGCTGTCCTGGAGGAACCTCGAGGAGGTCATGGCTGTCCTGGAGGAACCTCACAGGGGTCATGGCTGTCCTGGAGGAACCTCACAGGGGTCATGCCTGTCCTGGAGGAACCTCGCGGGGGTCATGGCTGTCCTGGAGGAACCTCACAGGGGTCATGCCTGTCCTGGAGGAACCTCGCGGGGGTCATGGCTGTCCTGGAGGAACCTCACAGGGGTCATGCCTGTCCTGGAGGAACCTCGCGGGGGTCATGGCTGTCCTGGAGGAACCTTGCGGGGGTCATGGCTGTCCGAGAGGTTTGGCTTGCGCGAGCCATGCCCGTTTTTGCGGCGGGAAGAGCTCCCTGGCAGAGAGCCTGAAGTTGCGCTTCTCCAAGGGGGGCCAAGCCCTACTAGCTGAGTTTCCCGGTCTCACCCTGGGAACACGCGCAGATATTAAAGGGACGGGAGAGTGTCGTTGCTGCCAGGTGACACAAACAGCCAGCGTTTGTGAAGACGGATGGCCTCTGTGAAAGCGCCCAACAGAAGCTTCATTCTGCACGGTGGATAATAATAACGGTCTTGGGCTGAATTTCCCAAGCAGCTGCATTTTCCAAGGCTATAAAAGTGACTTCCAGATTTCTGGCGCCACATTTCTCAAGCCTCACTTTTGGCAGTTGCAAAGCCCGAGGGCAGTTAATATTCTTCGATGATCACAGCTTAAAGGTGTGGCTTGTTCTCTCCCTCCTTGCAGCTCCTTTTTCTGGACTTCCTCCCTGGCCCAGCAAGGGTGAGGTTTCGGCATCAGCGGAGGCTATTTCAGGCAGGAGTCCTCTCAAAAGCCAGCAAACACAGATTCTCCTTTCACCTTCCCCCTCGCAACAGGGAGGGCAAGGTTTAAGCTTCGTCCTCTGCTGCAAAAAGTTCTGCCAAAACAGCCACGTGCCTAACTAATCGCACTACGCCATCACGCAGACATCGTTGCATCATAACGCAAGCGATCCCACGAAACAACAGCAGCCCACCGTGCCCCAGTTCAGCATGGTCTCCAACCCAGCTTTACCACTTCTGACAGCCACAGCGCCTCGACCTGACCATCTCGTGAATGGACCTGGGGGGAGACGTGGGTCATGTCATGCTCATTTATTTATCCTGTGCTTTCTTGGCAGCAATTGCACTTAGCCAGGACCTGGCCCAGCCCAAGAAACGGCCAAAATTGTCCAGAAATCATTAAGATCTTTCCACTGGTTTTGCCGGGCTCTGTCTTGCGCCTCTACACCAAGTACAGAAAAGCCACCAAGTTAAACGTGAATAAAGTCAGATCTTTGCTGATTCAGTGACTAGTTTAAAAAAATATGTTTTTCTGCATCCGTTTCCTGCAGCATTGCCTGGCCGTTTTCCAGGGCACTGTTGGCTCTCACAAACGTGAGAGTTCAGCCTCTGTAAAAGCCTTTGCAAGAGTTTTGGAAATTCAGCATTACCTCTCCCCAACATGCAGCCTTCCAAAAGCGGGATCCGATCTTGCTTTTATTCCTGCTTTGGGCCGACGATTCCCAGGCCCCTCACCATCAGGCTGGGTTTTCTGTTCGCCTGAGTCATGGGAAGAGAGGAGAGATCTGGAAGGAGGCAGGTGACACATCTCAGCGTCATTCCCTCCGTCTTTTCTTCTCCTCTTTCAACCTTGCCTAAGCCCCAGCCCAAGCCCACAAGAGCGGAGAAGCCCTCCCGTTCCCAGTAGCTGGCTTCGCTACGGACCGTGCCATCGCCACACCACACTGTGTCCCGGGGCGAGGGCCGGCTCCTGTGCCAGGGCTGCCCTGCACCCTGCTCCTGGCATCACCCGCGTTCAGCCCTGACACCTACTCATCCAGCTCAGCTACTTTTATTTTTCTTAACGTGGGTTTTCTTGCCTGTTTTCTCTACATCAAGACTTTCTGAAGATAGCTGGTTCCCTCTCTAACCTTTCAAGAGTGCTCTCTGTATGAAGTTCTCTTCACATCAGCTCCAACAAATGCAGGCAATAAAGTCGCAGCAGATTTATAGCTTCAAGAATCCTCTTATATCCACCTACCCATCAGGAAAGGGAGCTGCTTTTAAAAGAGGCAGGAGATGGGCTTTGCTATTATTTATTGTTTAAAAAGAAAAAAATATACCCTTGAATTCTTCCCAGCCCTAATTGTGGAAGGACATTCTTTTAACTTACCGAGCATAGCTCCAGCCCATGCTGACACCAGGACACGGCACCGCAACCTTTTGGAGAGAGGAGAGAGCACGGCTCCGTGTCTGTGCACCTCATCTGAATCTTCTCAGCCAGGACCAACTTCAGGCCTTGCAATGCCATTGCCGTGAGTCACAGTTAGTCCAGGAGAGACCCGACTGGTAGAGACCCAACAAAGACAAGTTAGTGGAAGGGCTATGGTGCCAGGTGATGGCTGCTGTCACCTGTGAAGGTGAAGGTCCTTCACTGCTCCCCATGTGGTGTCCACTCCCTGGAGGATCCAAAAAGCCACTCTGGTCTGCCCAGAAAAACAACCTGCTTGGCTGTGGAGTCCAAGCAGGTTTCCCAGGACTTCCACCCCAGTTCAGACCTCAGGCCACAACCCACCCCTTGGCCCTTACGAAGGGCCAAAGGAGGCAAATGAAGGATTAGGTGGCAGTAAAGAGCAAGAGGGATTGGCAGCCTCCAGAAGCAGTCTTGCCTCAGGAAGAGATGAAAGTCCCTCTGCTTCTCCCAGTAGCATCGGCACCGCTGTCCTCACGGGCTGCTGACCCCCCACGCCATGAAGTCACTCTGCTGCTCCCCACCAGGAGCGGCTACGGCCAGGCCCCCACCCTATTCCCATGCTTGCACTGCTGTTTCCCCAGGCACGAGGGTCAGCTGTCCTCTGGGGAGCTCCCATCTACCCCTGCTTGCAGGGATTTGGGATTTTGTGTTATGAAGCCCTGATGTCGAATGTCTTGGTAGTGACAGAAGCTTCTGGCTGCTGGTGTCAGAGAGGGTTAAAAAAGC